CAGCCTGGTTACCATTTTCAGAAGCACTGACTCCCTTCTGTGTGTCTGCTCTGAGTCAGGCTCTGTACAAGGAAACTTGCCCGGGGGCACTCCAGAAGCAAAGAAGGGGAATGTGGTCGTTTCCAGGGCACAGACCTGGAAGGTCAGAGTCCACTTGTTCAAGCCCTGGATCTGCCACTTAATAGAGGTACAGCAAATGACCTTATCTCTCTGTCAGCTTCCTCGTGTGAAAAATAGAAGTCATAACAGTAATTCCTAATTCAGGGGGTTGGGGTAAAGGTTAAATGCAGCATGTAAAGTCCCTAGGAGTAAATTAATGTAAAATCCTTAAAAGGAGCCCCTGCTCCCCCCCAATAATGTATGGCTAAATGGCAGCTGTTATTTTTATTTACTGTGTGCATTGGAAATTTTGCAAATCTCAGCCAGCTGCAGTGGCTCATGCCTGTAATCTCAAAACTTTGGGAGGCCAAGGCAGGAGGATCACTTGAGCCCAGGAGTTCAAGACAGGCCTGGACAACGTAATGAGACCCCATCTCTACAAAAAAACTTTAAAATTACCCAGGCATGGGGGCATGCGCCTGGGTACTCGGGAGGCTGAGACAGGAGAATTACTTGAGCCCAGGAGGTCAAGGCTCTAGTGAGCCATGATCGCTCCACTGCACTCCAGCCTGGTCCGCAGAGCGAGACCCTGTCTGAAAAAAAAAGAAAAGAAAAAGAAAATCTTCAAATTGCATTGCTTTGCCAATGCCCCCCCTCCACACACCACACCCACCCATACCCACACCGACACACCCACATCCTGGCTTGATGTTGGAAGGTGGCTTCCGATGCCAGGAGAGGGCGCTGTTCTCCCGCAGGTGGCTTGAGCACGCCCTCCCAGGGCTGACAGCCTCTGCTCGGCAAGAAAGTCCGGCCCATTCCTGGGCTCCACTCACACGAATACACCAAACCCCACCCCCAGTTCCTGGAAGAACGATCTTCGCAAATTAAGTTATCGTGAGTTATGTGAACCCCTAGCCTGCAAGCACTGGTGCTAGACTGGCTGTCTGCCTCCGGCCCTTTTGCTTCCCGTTTCAAGAACCAAGTCACCATGAATTTTCTTAATGATACCTTATTCGCCTGTTTTAGCCATTTTTCTCCTCTTTCTATCCGAGGCAGGGAGTGGTCTTGAGGGAGACAGAGCGCTACTGCGGAACAGACAGAGGCCTTGAAATTAAATAGAACTGGGTTTAATTACTGGCGCTACCACTCAACCAGGTAACCGAGGGCAAATGTCTAAAGTCACTGTGCCTCAGTTTCCTCGTTTGTAAAATAACGGTGACAGCAGTATGTGCTTCGTAGAAACATGAGGATCAAATGAGATAAATCATGTAAAGGCCTTAATACAGTGTCTCGTCTATATCCAGGATTAATAAGTGTGAAAAAAGAATGAAGAATGAAATGGCCAGTGGAATCTTGTGTCCACTGAGTGGTATAAAGTGAAAGACGTGCGTTTTGAAGTCAGACTGACTGGGTACCAGCCAGGCTATGGTGCCTTAGCAAGCTTTTCACATCTCTAATCCTCAATATTTCTCATCTGCAAAATGGGCACACTAATATGCCATAGAAAGTTGACAGTTTTAAGTGTGATAGTGTGTATAACAGCCTCCAGTGTAACTCTTGGCCCATAGTAAAACCATGATAAATGCTAGTTCTATTTCTTTTAGCAGATAAATGAAAGTTTTGAGATTTATGAGCTACCATGAGAAAATCCTTTTGGGATGGGTATGGTGGCTCACGCCTCCAATCCCAGCTTTTCGAGGCTGCGGTGGGCAGATCAGTTGATGTCAGGAGTTAGAGACCTGTCTGGCCAACATGGTGAAGCCCTGTCTTTAATCAAAATAAAAAGTAAAAAATTAGCTGGGCATGGCAGCAGATGTCTGTAAACCCAGCTATTCAGGAGGCTGCGGTGGGAGAATTGCTTGAACCTGGGAGAGAAGTTGCAGTGAGCCGAGATTGTGCCACTGCACTTCACCGTAGGCAACAGAGTAAGACTCCATCTCAAAAAAAAAAAAGCCTTTTGGTGTGATGGCAGGGATTGTATTTGACAATAATTCTTTGTGAGAAGGGTCATGATTAATCTGTGTTTAGAAACATTTAAGTATAAATGAAGTTCACAGAGATCTTCCATTTACCCATAGATCATTTTTGTTTATTCAGTGATGCAAGCATTATTTTACATGGTCAAAATAAGATATTGACCCATATTATGCACTGGAATAGATATGTTCTAGGTAGCAGAGATACAGCTATGAACAAGACAGGCAAATCTTTGCCATCATGGAGTTTACGATTGTTGCGCAAGTCATAAAACAAAACAGAACAAAATATTACGATGACACGCAGTGCTAGGGAGAAGATTAGAGTAGCTTAAGGGAAGAGAGGGATGGAGGGGCTGGATGATAGGAGATAGAGTTGTCAGGGAAGACTTGGAGGAGGAGATAACAGAGCATAGCCAGAATAAAGTGAAGACGGAAGCCACGTGATGAGGAGGGGAAGAGCATTCCAAGAGAGGAAAGTGTAAGCGCAAAGGCACAGAGGTGAAAGAATGGTGTTCACAGAACGGGAAATTAGCATGTGAGTCACAAACAGTAAGTTATGGGGAGAGCAGGAATAGATTGAATCTAAGAAGTAAAGTGCCAGATCATCTAAGATCTTGTAGACAATTGTAAAGATTTTGTTTCTAAGCTGCCCACCACCCTAAAGATGGGCCATATTGGCTGAGCGTGGTAGCTCAAGCCTGTAATCCCAGCACTTTGGGAGGCTGAGAGAGGCAGATCACTTGAGGTCAGGAGTTGGACACCAGCCTGGCCAATAGGGCGAAACCCCTTCTCTACTAAAAATGCAGAAATGAGCCAAGCGTGGTGGTACACACCTGTAGTCCCAGCTACTTGGGAGTCTGAGGCAGGAAAATCACTTGAACCTGGGAGGTGGAGGTTGCAGTGAACCAATATTGTGCCACTGCACTCCAGCCTGGATGACTTTTTTTCTGTCTCAAAAAAGAAAAAAAAAGTCAAATGGTTGAGAGAACTAAGAGGGGCAGATAATTCATTCACACAATAAGTATTTATGGAAGGCCTATTATAATTTTACAATTTTCTAATTTGCAATTTATTGAGCACTTACATGCAGAAATTCTGCTAAGTGTTATACATTTACAGTGATCTCACTTCTCACAACAACCCATTAAGGCTGGTATTGTTATTCTCCCATTGTACACATGAGGAGACAGGCTCAGAGAGATCTAGTAACTTACCCAGGGACACACAGCTGGTAAATAGCACAAGGGTCTATAAGGTTACAAAGCTCAGAATCTCTACCTTGCTGTCCCATGTGCCAGACACAATTGCATCTGTGTAATCATGACATTCAGCTGCAGATACTCCTCCTATCTGATCCCAGCCTGAAAACAGGGCACCTGAACTTAGTTACCCAGTGGGAGCAGCTGAGGTGGAGAAGAGGGATCTGGAACTCTGCACTCCTGTGCAGTCTTGGTGGAGCTGTCAATCAAGGTGCCTGCCCTTCTTTCTAAAGTGCGGATGTGTTACCAGAGCTCAGCCAATCGAACCCTTGCTCCAGGCACTTTGACTCATCAAAGAAAGCTCTGGTCAAGAAAGGGGAGAAAAACATGGAATTGATTCACTTGCCTGCCTAAACTCTCAAAGTATCTCCGCTTTCTGTTGTTTTCTAAGCCTGATTCTCCAGCTTCCTGTTACCTCTGTGAGTTAGACACTGGCCTGCCAATAACATCCTTTTTGGGTAAAGTTAGCCAGAATTGATTCCTAAGACTTGCAGTCAAAGAACCTGCACTGGCAATATCAGGGAAAAAAATGACACAGTCTTGTAAAGCTAAAGTGAGTGATTCATGCTTTGGATAAATATGTATTAAGCAGGGCCCGGACTAGGAAATCGAAGGCTTTCATCCTCAGTGTTGTTTGAGTGCAGGGTTTGCTCTAACAGCCCTCCCTGCTATCAAAGTTAGTAATAAAAGGAATGGAAAAGATCATCTCTCTCTCACATAAGAGTATGAAATGAGTGCCCCAAGCCAGCAGGTAGCATTTAGCAACTTCTGTGCTGTGGCTTTGCCTTCTAACACATCACCATCATCACAAGGTCAAGGCTGGGGCCAGCCAGCGAGAAGGAGAAAAAGTTACCTCTGCCAGGGCTTTAGCAATGTCAGCTCTTTTTTTCTTTTTTTTTTTTTGAGACAGTCTCGCTCTGTCGCCCAGGCTAGAGTGCAGTGGCATGATCTAAGCTCACTGCAGCCTCCCCCTTCCAGTTTCAAGCGATTCTCCTGCCTGTCTCCTGAGTAGCTGGGATTATAGGCGCGCGCCACCACGCTGGCTAATTTTTGTACTTTTAGTAGAGACGGGGTTTCACTATTTTGGTCAGGCTGCTCTCAAATTCCTGACCTCGTGATCCGCCCGCCTTGGCCTCCCTAAGTACTGGCATTACCGGTGTGAGCCACCGTGCCTGGCCGAGTATCAGTTTCTTTATCAGCAAAGGGACAGCTGAATACACAGTCCCAGGATTGTTGTAAGAATCTGCTAGACGAATGATTACAGTATAAACTTTGGAATCCAACAGGCAGAGGTTGGCGTCTTGCTCTGCCCCTCACCAGCTGTAACATCTCGGACCCTCTCTGAGCCTCAGTTTCCTCATCTGCAACGAAGGGATCAGGATGCTTCCTCCATTGCAGGGCTGCTGTGAGCATGAAGGGAGACAGCAGGAGTGAGTCCTTGGCTAGGTGCCCGGCCTTGTTCCGATCTGCAGGTGCAGTGACGAATGCCACCTCCCACGGATCCCTTCCAACAGCACAGCTGAGTTGTACCCTTCTGCCTCTGCTCAGCGCCCACGGTCAGCCCTGGGTGCCGGTATAATTAGCTCCAACTCGGTGGTGAGCAGCGCGGCTGCTCACAGCCTCTGACACGACTGTCACCTCCCACTCAGTTCCCCAAACCACAGCGATCCCCACTGTTGAGTGTGCGGTAAGTGCATTCTGGGCACAGGGCGGAGTGCCACCAGAGGACCGCTTACCGCTCACAACCTATGATTTGACACAGGGAACCAAAGCCTTTTCCTTCACTCTAGGACTGCATACCAAAAAGAAAAAAAAGTTTCGGGTGAAAAAGAAAGCTGCCTTTTGGGTTTGCTGGAAAATCACATTCCTCCAGATCCTGTAGCCGGCGGGAGAAAGGCGTCCTGTTTCTTTTAGAGGCCTCTGCTAGCGGGGCGGGGACGGCCGGCGATTTTCCTCTCTACCGGCAGCTGCTCCTGCCCCTTCTTGAGTGACAGACAAGCAACCCAATTAAAGAAAGAAAGTTCAGCGTGATGGAGAGATGGAGCAATAGGAGCCCGGCCCGGCCTGCGCGGGGCGGGGTCACAAGAAGGCGGGGCGGGCGGAGGCTGCTGGAGCCGCAGAGGCGAGACCCGGGAGCGGGAGCTGGGCCTAGGTCGAAGAGCTGGTGAGTGAGGGGAGCGCCGGGGACCGGGGCGCGGCAGGCAGTGGAGAGGGTCCCGGCCCGAGAGTCGTAGGGGAGACAGGCCGGACCGAGCGCGGCTGCCTGCATCTGCCCCGGAGGCTGAGGGGCTGAGAGGGCGGGCCTGGGCTGGACCAAGCCGGTTCGTCTGGTCCCCGAGGGGTCGCGGCCCAGCAAGGGCCTCCGGAAGGGAGGAGAGACAGGGTCCTCGACCCAGAAGGGGCGTCGCATGGCGGAAGAGGGCGGGCCAGGCCGTCCGGCGCGGGGGCTGGCTGAGCCGGGCAGCGGTCGGAGGGAGAAGGAGGGAGACGTTGGGTGGGAGGATCGGGGAGGGAGGGCAAGGAGAGGGCTGGGAAGGACCCGGAGAGCGCTCGGGGCGGGCCCGCAAGAGTCCGAAGCCGGGGTCCCGCTCGACGGGAACCCTGCTGCCCGGGTCCACCAGCCTGCTCCGTGGATCCTGCCAGTTAAGTAGCCCCCCGGTGCTTGTATTTTCCATCCCCAGCGCTCACCCTTCAGTTCAGGCCCCTTTCGCTTCCTGCCTGGGCAGTTGCGGTGTCCTGAGTGGTCTGCCCGAAGGCACAGGGGCCGCTCTTCTGTCGGCCTTGCACCTTGCTGGGAGAAACCTTTTCTTTTTTTCTTTCTTTCTTTTTTTTTTTTTTTTTTGAAACCTTTTTGAGAGGGAGTCTTGCTCTGCCGCCCAGGCTGGAGGGCAGTGGCACGATCTCAGCTCACTGCAACCTCTGCCTCCCAGGTTCCAGCAATTCTCCTGCCTCAGCCGTCCAAGTAGCTGGGACTACAGGTGCGTACCGCCACGCCCACGCACCCAAAGATGTTTGCATTTTTAGTAGAGACAGGGTTTCACCGTGTTAGGCTGGTCTCGACTTCCTGACCTCAGATGATCCGCCTGCCTCGGCCTTCCAAAGTGCTGGGATTACAGGCGTGAGCTACCGCACCCGGCCGAGAAATCTTTTCAAAATCCAGAGCAGATCTGGATATTTCGGGCATGAAACTGGTCAGCTTCCCACTCCTTTGTAGGGTCAGACCCAGAACCTGACCCAGGCCTTGGAGATATGGTCCCGTGGACCTCTCCCAAATCTGACTATTCCTCCCGCTTGCTCAGTGCTCTCCCCACACTGGCCTCTTTCTGTTCCTTTTACATCCCAAGCTCCCGCCTGCCTTCCTCGGGCCTTTTATTTAGTGTTCCTCCTCCCTGGGCTGCCCTTCCTTCCCCTGCTTAGTCTTTAAACTCTTCTTCAGTCCTTCAAATCTCCGCTTAAGCATCGCCTCTGCAGGGCAGGCATCCCTGTCCCTGACTCTTCGACCAATATCCCACTTTATCAGCCTGGGTACTTGTCCTTCACAACACTTTCAAAACTGCAGTTTTACATTTATTTACAAAAGTATTGGTATTTCTCTGTCCATGCCACCAGATTGTAAGGTCCACGAAGAAGACAGCATCTGGTTTTGCTGCATATTGTATCTGATAGAAATAAATGTAATGTGAGTTATAGATATAATTTCAAATTTTATAGTAGCCGCATTAAAAAATGAAACAGTTGAAAATAATTTTAGTAATATATTTAACACAATATATTCCAAAATTATAATATAAAAACATTATTAATGGGATATTTTACATTCTTGTTTTTTGTCCTAAGTTTTTGAAACCTGGTTTGTATTTCACATGAGGGTAGCCTGTGCCACTATTCAAGTGCCTAGTAGCCACATGTGGCCGGGGATTGCAGTATTGGGCTGTACAGCATTACATACTTCATATACCCTCTAGAGTCTTTTGAGATAACTATTGTTATCTGCACTTTACTGATACAAATAGTGAAGCTCCTCAAAGAGGTTAGTTATCTGCCAGGGATAATTCTAGAGTTTGTAATTGAAGGAGGCAGGATTAGGACCTCTCTCTGTTAATCTTCAGTCTGGTCTATCTTTTCTTTCTTTTTTTTTCCTTTGAGACAAAATTTTGCTCTGTTGCCCAGGCTGGAGTGCAAATGGCACGATCTCAGCTCTGCCTCCCGGGTTCAAGCGATTCTCCTGCCTCGGCCTCCAGAGTAACTAGGGTTACAGGCATGTGCCACCACGCCCAACCAATTTTGTATTTTTAGTAAAGACGGTTTCTCTATGTTGGTCAGGCTGGTCTCGAACTCTGGACCTCAGGTGATCTTCCCACCTTGGCATCCCAAAGTTCTGGGATTATAGGCGTGAACCACCACACCTGGCCCAGTCTGGTCTTTCTATATACCTCATGCTGACTCTAGGAGGTTAGAGGGTACAGGAATAGGGACCAAACTTCTTTAAAAACTTCAGTGTATAGCATATTCTAGCTTGTTCTGTGCCGAAATAATATGTTCAGATGTAGCAGTAGTACCACTTGCCAAGGTGGCTCAGCAGCAAGCATATTTGATGCAGTTGAAAGAAACCCTGCAAGGCAAGTTCTTTGACCCAGTCACCATACCTCAGCCCAGCCTGGACTAAGTCTGGTCCCAGGACCTGGGTAGAAAAACATACAAACCATGTAGCATCTCAGAGGTGCTGGGAATACTAGGCTTCAGTTTACATCCTGGCCCTTCTTTTTTTTTTTTTGAGATGAAGTCTTGCTCTGGTGCCCTGGTGCCCTGGCTGGAGTACAGTGGTGCGATCTCTGCTCATTGCAACCTCCGCCTCCTGGGTTCAAGTGATTCTTGTGCCTCAGCCTCCCGAGTAGCTGGGATTACAGGTACATGCCACCGTGCCTGGTTAATTTTTGTATTTTTAGTAGAGATGGGGTTTCACCATGTTGGCCAGGCTGGTATTGAACTCTTGACCTCAAGGGATCTGCCTACCTCGGCCTCCCAAATTGCTGGGATTACAGGCGTGAGTCTGGGCACCTGGCCTACAGCCCCAGTTCAGCAGTGGCTCACTGAGTAGCTACCGTGTGACAAGCACTCTTCTAGGCCATTTTTGGTGATTGGGCAGTGTATGTCATAGCCTGCATCTTCAGGACGCTTCAGGTATACTTGCAAAGACAAGACTGGATCACATAAAATGACTAGGAGGTGTAATGTGGTGTGAGGCATCCTGTGCTGTAATGAAGAACCAGAATCAGTATGGGCCAGAGGCTGCAAAGTATTGGCCAAGCTGCGTGATGTGTTTTTAAAATGTTGCATTTAAACTCCTCTAGGCAAGGTGGTACTTCACAGTGTTACAGACCCTACATGGAGGCTGCTTGGTTTATTTACTTACCTGCTTGGCTGCTTAAGACATTTGAATTTATAACCCTATTGGGCATGTTGGTTTAATGTGAGTCACTAGAAAAGATTTGTTGAGCACTTACTATATGCCAGGCATTGTATTGGCTGCTGCTTTGGAACTGATCATAACATTTTCCAAAGTTCTTCCACTAGGAAATAGTAATAACGATAATAGTGGAACACCAACAAATGCTTTGCCTTTTATATTGACTTTCCTCCTGGACTGCCTTCACATATGCTCTCTCATTTTGTCAACAATACACAATATGCCTGCCTAGCAGGTAGGGCTGGGGAAACGTGGTCACAGAGCTTTTGCAATTTCTTTGAAGTTCACACAGTTAGAATTCTGCTATTATACTTACTGCTTTATTATCCCACTTAATGTTCACAACAGCTTTACAGGGTAGATTGATGATAATCCCATTTTACAGGTAAGGAAATTGGTAGTGCCAGGAGCCAAGTTCAGGCCTTTCCCACTCCAGATCACAGCTCCTGTTAAGCTACACTGCCTCACTAGAAGGCCTAAGTTGGAAGAGACCTCAAAAACATCTAGTCCAGCCCTCCATGTAGATCAGAACCCAAGGTCCAGAAAGGCTTGTGCTTGTGGTAGAGCTGTGCTGCAGGAAGAGAGTAAACCAGAAGTGCGGGCCTAGGCCTTCTTTTGTCCCTAACTTGTGGCATGGCCTTGCCAGCTTCTCCGTACTTAAGTTCCCTTATTGATATAATGAAAGGGCTTGGCCTGATTTTATGCTGAGAACAATGCTGTGCTGTTCTGGTTGATACTGAAGGAGTTCACAGTCCAAGATTTTAGTCATAACCCAGGACTCCTCTCAGCACACCACACTCCCACCCTACCCAAGCTCCATCTCCTTATGCAGCCACAGTTTTCTAAAGTTTCATTCTGAAGTTCATCTGTATTTTCCATCTCAGTTTCTGTTTCCTCTCATTTCCAAAAACTGAGGCAAGTAGTTTGTAAACACTTGACTTTTTGTAAATTCATCTCCTCAGTTATTATAATTAGGGATTTGGAAAGTTCTAGGCAATTAATAATCCTCAGTCAGTAGTGTTTTCACTCTCTTTTAATGGTAGTTAGGTCTGGAGGCACCCTGGAGGGAATTTTGCTTTGGAATTCTAGGGACACAGCTGTGTGCCAGACAGTGTGCTGCAAACTGGGGGGAAGAGTAGGTGGGGGAATAGACTCGGGCTTCATGAGTCTTTGCCCTCAGGTTGTCAACTCTCCTGGAGTGTGGGTCCACCCTGGCCACCTGTTAAAATCGTCCGGGAGTTCCTAAATGCCCTGGGGTGTGCATTGATGGTGTACAACCAGAGTTGAGAACCACTGGTTTTCGGACTGTATCTGAACTTGAACCTACATCCCAGACTTTAACATGCACTTGAACCACTCCAGGATATTGTTGGAAGGCAGATTCTGATTGGGTGGGTCTGGGCTGGAGAGGCAGTTCCACATTACTACAGGCTCCCAGGGATACTGCTGCTGCTGGCGTGCAGATCACACCTATAGTAGTCAGGGAAGAGACTGCACATAGAGAACTGTAAATCAGTAGGATCGTGAAAGTATGTGTAAAAGACTGGGATCACAGGTGAGGATGCAATAAATTTTACCTGAGGTGAGAGGGTTAGGAAAGCCACATAGAAGAGTGATTATCTTAGCTGGACCTTGCAAGTTGAGTAGAAGTTTGGCAGCTGGACAAGGAGGAGGAAATAATAGCACAAGCAAACATA